CCTCACTGGTGAGGTCTTGGGTAGGACCGGGAGAGCGCATGTTGGTTCTGGTCAAAGTGCCAGCGCTTCTCTACAGGTATTTAACTGGGTGGGGTCCCCATCAGCGCTAATCGAAGGTGAACTTCTATCTTCTCCCCACGCCACTCATCACCTAAATATTGTTATCAAGGGAGACTTCTTTGACGGATGATGGACTGGGCCTGGCTATGGGCGCTCTCCTTTGCGGCATCACAAATATGCTATTTTGGCATGAATCATAAGATAAAAAATCTACGCGCGACAACGGATAGACGGACATATGATACAGGAAGTACACACTAGTTGGTTAAGCCTGCCCCAGGCCCTAGGTCTACACGGGACTATGATTTAAAGGTCGGCGGCTGCGCCGCGACCCTTTTGCACTCAAAGAAAAAAAGTCCAGCCATATGACTTGTCCCCCAAGGAAGAGTATCACAGCGGCGTGCATCAAGCCTACGACGAGCGTTGCAAGACGATCTAAGCCGTAGGTGTGGATGCCCATGAATGCCGCAAGTTGCCTGAGGGAATACCCCTCAAGGGTCTCGGGCGCGTGACGCCTCTTGACAGCGATAGGGTCGCTCATCCAGTCCAAGACCATCGTTGCGAGCAGAGCGCTCACGAGGGAGAGGAGGAGGGCAAGGAACCAGAACGTGTTATAGAGAACAACGTGTGGAGGTGGCTCGAAGGGCTTCGGCGCGGCCAACACGATCGGCGTGCTCTGTGTCGACTGCACAAGCTGAGCGAGAAGCACATTCGTCTGGTTGAGCGCAGACATGATCGTTTGCGCGTTTGGGTCAGGAGAGAGGTTCTTGTAGCTGTCCACCAGGAATGCCGCTACTGTGGCGGCGAAGAGACCGGCCTGTATGAGCGTTGTTAGCGGCCGGAAAGCTCGATTGGACATTGTACACACGAAGGTTAAGAGCGCAGTCATTGCTCTGGCATTATAATGCGCGAGCTTGTCCTTCTTTGTCTTTATGGCCCGCAGAAAGATAGGCCAGAAGCTACTGCCCTCCCCTTCCACCTCGGGAGCCAAATAGTCATCGGTATCGTCTGGGATTCTGGCGTCCATTGGTTGGGATGTATATCTCTTCGAGGATGTGTAGATTTGCTGGCGTCGAGAGTTCGTATGGAGTACGGCGACAGTGAAGAGTTGGGGAGACCTTGCTTCCTCGCCCTTGCCGCCGTGCCCTTGCCGTGCCCCAGTCTAGCGGTGCACGCCACGTGTTCCCACAGCCCACATATTATATTCTTCTGCTCGTCCGTTGTCCGGACTATCGTTGAAGAGTACCCTTCCGTGCGCACATAGGTGTGGGATGCCGGTCCCATACCCCCATCAGAGCCGCAGCCGAAATGTCCTAACTACTCCGATTGACGGATGCGGTTTACGTTAGGATTAGGGTTAGGGGAAGGTTGATCGTTCACGTCGATGATGTAATCGCTGCTCACGACCATAATCACCATGACCTTGGAAGTGCATACTCAGAAGTACAAGGCGACAATGATGATAAGCAAGAGCGAGAACCATCAAACTCGGTGGGGGTGACGGACACCTTGGGCGGTACGGCGCGTCGTGTGGCAGTTCTCTCCTTAGGTTTCGAGAATGCGCTACTCGGACTCTGGTTCTGTAGGCTTCAGTACCCAAATGCACCGCCTTTGCTCACCTCGGCTCATCCATACCCATAGCAGCTATGCAAGCCAGACGTCTTTGCTTCCGAATCATCTCTACTACGTCTAGTCAACAGATCACGAACACTTTAGAACATGTTGCCAAAGACCTCTTGTATGGCGAACGAGGCCCGTGTTCTCCGATACCCTGACTGACGATATCGT